AGTGCGCATGCGCGCCGTTTGTCTCTTCAGTTGTCGGGTCAACACTAAATTCGAAATCGCCATTACCGGTACAATCATTGAAAATCCTTCGTTTTATTCGGACATCCGTCCCTTTGACTGGTCTAGTTAACGTGTGGTTGTGTCGTTTGATTGGTTATGTTTTAATAAGACGCAAAAAATAATGTTTTGATCAGAGGTTCAGAAGAGCATCGTGGCCGTTCGGCAACAGGACGTTCTCAAGAGTCTTTGGAGATAGAGAAGCTTAGCCTATCGATCTGGTATGGTTCTAGGAGTAGTGTGTGGCTTACGAAAGGTATACACGACACTTGGAAAGTGGTTAAAGGCATGAGTTCGTTCAACTTTGATTTGATTTTTGACTCCGACCTGTAGTTATACCGCAACAGGCCGCGCGATCTTCACCGATCTGGTACACTTGAAATGTTCATATGTGTGCTACTCGATAACATTTGTTTTGCGGAACACTGACCCGATGCAACGCGAATGAATTTGTTCATTTGCTGATAAGCATTTGAAATTTATGCTCAATTAAGGATAATCTTTATACTCATACGTTGTACGTTTTTGTCACCGGTCAGGTGCTATTTGTAGGTATTTCTGGATTTATATAAGGCGAACTAAGAGAACAGTAATAAGATGTTTGTTTACAAATTTTGTTTGCCGATCGGTGACTGCTTTGTTAGCGTGGGTACGACCTCGTAAAAATACACGTTGGTAAATGTTTGTTTCAAAGCGGGACAGGGCTGTAAATCTTATTCTTATCGGCTGCAACATATATCTGAGGAGTATCAATGAATAAACTTGAATTATGGGGATAAATAAAATCAAACCAAATGCCCGGAAATACTCTCGCGTCGCGAACAATTAATTTGAATTTTGTAGATTTACTTGCATGCATCTAACTCGCTTCCGATTGGTTGAAAAACAATCAGCTACTGTCAGAACTCACACATGCGCATTATCGTGAACCAGTCCCTTTAAGTCACCAACGTGTGTATTACGTACTAAATCTCACATCTGGATGGACATTTGACAACAACATCACCATGCCTTGAGATCAGAAAATCAGACCACATAAGGACATTTCCAATTCCCATATTACAGCCCTTGGACATGCGAACTATTTCTGCCCGAGACAACACATAACTCCATACATGAAGTCCACTGAGTGTTCCATGAAAGCTCTGCGTCTGTTGGAAACTATTAGGATCTGCCATTTTGTCTTGATCTTGACCAATTACCAAGTACCCTCGACCAGGAATAACATATCCGGGTTTAAAGCCGGTACCGTTAATGGCCATTACGCCGTCTACTGTCATACTCCATTCTCCATTCTCATTTCCCCAAGCTACGCAGATGTGGTGTCTTGTTCCATCGTAATAATTTCCTAGACCAATGCTCCTTCATAAAATAGATGGATAACAAATGAATAAACTGAATCATAATTTAGACACAACTTGTAGCGTTAAGAATCTGATTGATGTCCGTTATAACGAGAGTTTAAACACCAAAACAGTGCTGTTGGGGCCGAGAAAGGTGTCCGCTTAATTTAGGGACCGGTCATTATTTATCGCCTGGGGGGACGGGGAGGGGGATGGGGTGGTTGATTTGTGGGTTATCACTTGATTTTTAGGAGAACAAAAGGGGGGATCATAAATGAGAACCCAAAAGGGGGGATCACTGAAATCTTTGGAAGGATTCAGAGGGGGACCACTCAAATTTGCTTGGACATGAAGACATGGGACGGGGGAATCGCGAAAGTCGTCAACTGTTATTTGGGGGGATCACTTCAGCGAAGTAACATTCAAAGTGGGGATCGGCTAAATTTCACCTTGTTTAGTCCCAAGCCTCCCCCCCCGGCGCTAAATAATGACCGGTCCCTTAAGCGAGAGTCCATAACAGCAGGACTCTTGGTTTTAGTCAAATATCTGTAATTTTCACCGGGGATTCAGAGGCTGTCCGCACGTATTATAGGGGTATCCGTGATAACCAGGAATCCAGGCGAGAGTTGATTGTATACTAATCAAAAAGAAACCCACAGTTAATTTGGCTGCCAGTGCCGACGTTGTGAGTGGTTCCCTACCCTTCCAGCATATCCTTTCATTTCCTTGCTTGAGGAATTAAGATTAGAAAATGTTGAACATGCTTTTCATGTTGACACGATACCGTTCGAAACTAGTCTTAGTAGCCGTGCGCTTATTACAGCAGGTTCAGTTATCGCCACCTTTTTATTAAAAAACGGATGCTCGTACTCAAAAAAATAGTTTCACATGAGAAAACAAGATTGACGAGACCAAAAGTTCGGTCTCATTGCCGCGATACCAAAGCTTGACGCGATTTCTACTGAGCCGCCTTTTTCTCCTCCTCGTTCAAGAAGAAGTCAAAAAGAGAATCCGTTCACAGGGTTGATTCTTACTTAAATTCTCTGCATGCGATATAGGATTCAATGGCGCCGAAATTAACTTTGGAAATGCATCAATTCAAGTATCCTGTGACTATTTACTAAGTCGTACAGCATTTAGATGTTTATAGAAGGGACATTTCAACCCCCGCCCCCTCATCCACCACCACTCACCTTGAGATTAGCCTTAATTGATTGAGCTCTAATACCATCAAGTGGCCACAGAGACTGGCTACTATCTCGGACCAAGAAACTGAGGATCGTTTCATGCAGTGTTAAAAAAGAGTGCTGGCAGTATTGGCTCGATCCTTACCTCGTCTCATCATGTATTGCCAGTTCCGTTTTAAAGATCGTTATTTCATTGTGTTGTCCTGGAATAGCATAGCTAAACGTCACGCCTTTACTGGTGTCTTCAGTCTGCATCCAAAAGCAAATTGTAAACTTTGACAATTTCATAGGCCAGGTCTGGTTGACGTAATTTCTGGTGCTCTTGGAAGGAAAATTAAGGTCGTAATCCGAGATTTCACCTAAAAGCAAAAGAATAAAAAAGAACAAAATGAAACGATTTCTTTGCTTAAAGGACTATAAACTTTTCAGTACTAGTTTGGAAAGAATTGGATGGGAAAAAGAAAATCCGACAGAATAACTAGCCTGTTGAATAATCCTTGGCTGTCTATGTATAATCCAATCCATCGGAAACATTATTATCACTATTATTATTATTATTATTATTATTATTATTATTATTATTATTATTATTACTAATATTCTATTATGGTCAGGGTTGCATATATAGAAATCATTAATGTCATGGTGGCAACAAGAACGCAAAATTTAACAACAATAAAAAACAATTAGCTGTAATTGATCAACACTATTGGAGTTCTCACCATCTCTCCCGATGCAGTTGTTCATCTGAAAAAAAAAGGGACATGAACAATAAATAAATAAATAAAGATAAGACGCAATGGATTAATTTCTTTTCATTTCAAATTTTGTAAGATCATGGTTGAATACTATTGACGATGGTTCGGTTAACGACGAGCTTCCTGTTGCTTTGGTAACTCGAGACACTTGGATAATAGCCCGATTTTTCAAGAGACAGTGTACTAGTTTTTAAAGGGAATTTTCCTTTTGTATGGTCGTAACTTTAAGCATTCATATCTGACATGGGAGAGCAAAAAGTAAAACCTATAAAAACGTATATTGCAGGAGTGTAAACAATCGACTCCCATCGGACAACTCGAACCCTCTAGGGAAATGAAAAAAGGTTCCAGTTAGCAAGAGTTTGAAGCAAATAACCGGAAATTCGAAAATGGGATGAGGAATGAATGTAAGTAACATCATAAAAAATGCACTACACTTCAAAACTTGATAAATACACATTGCTGGACACTGTATTTAGACTAAACTGAAAAAGTAAAGACACAGTTGCTGAAGTAACTCCAATGTTTCGGACTGCAGTACACTTTGTTTCGACTTGTCGAGTTAAATTGAGCGCATGTTTACATGTAGAAATGATCTGAAAGAAAACAAAATTTTCTTTGAGCTGGCGGGAGGTTCGAGTTACCGAGGGTAAAATGCTAGTAAATGTATAAAGGAAATCCAGGTGAAATTGATTTTGGTTCGAGTTTCCAGTTGGCGCGAGGTTCCAGTTAGCGAGGGTTCGAGTTATCGAGATTCGACTGTAACTATTTAAAAGTAGAATGATCTGGCTTGCTGATATTAGGAAAATGAAGCAAAGGCATTTTTGAGCAACGCAGGTCAACCGGAAGTAGACGTTTTACATTCCTGAGCAGTGGTTTTGCCCAAATTTTCAGTTAAATCGTCTCTACAAGTGTTAAGAAACTACGAAATACAAATTTTATAGCGTAAAGGCATATTAAAAGGAAAACATCCTCACTTCCGGTTGACGCGCGTCTCTCCAAAACGCCTTTGCTTATTAAGCTCCCTATTGAAATTCTATCAATTTAGGTTTCTTGGAAACTGCCCACCTACCCCTCCCCTAAGCCAACATTTTGCCCTAAGTGAGAAGTAAGTGATAATGTTAGCTTAGGGGAGGGGTAGGTGGGCAGTTTCCCACAAACCTAAATTGATCCGAAATTCTCTTTGCTTCCCTTGGGCCGACTTATTGCTCTGATTGATGTAACTTACCATGACAACGTCATAATAAATGACGCCAGGTTCAACAGTTAAACATCCTGGACACGAGACTTTGCTGGCATCATTCAACTGGCACTCGTTGTGGTTGTTGCTCATTGGTTTGTAGTTGTATGATAAACACCCTTTGTTTTGCAAACACATAACCCCACAGTCAAAGTCACGTGTTACGTGATGAAAGGCAATCACATGACTTTGTAGCGAGTATCCTTTGAATAAATAAATAATAAGAGGGCTTCAATAAAGACAAGTGAAATAAAGTTTAGTTGCAAGATATGATGACAAACATGATAAAAGTTGCATGTATAGCACAAACTAAAAAAGAAAGTAAATGCTTTTTTTTTCAAATACGCATAATTGTATGTATCAATTTGTTCCGAAGGTTCACTTCAGTCAAAATGAAAATTTAATAAAATTAATTAATAGAAATCAATTATTCATGATAAAATGCTGAGACCGAATTGGTCTGCACTACAACTTTACATTTCTCGGTGACCTACGACTATACATTTTGTGACGTATGCAACTTTAAGTTAGCTATACGTTTAATTTAATGCGCAGTCGAACAACCCATAAGCTTTGGATGACCAATTGAAGAGCGATCGCTTATGAAGGCCTTAATAATTTATTTGTAACGTTTATTCCAACGAAAAATCTCTGTTCAAAAGGAAGAAAATCAGTAGTGTTTTCATCGAGGTCTACAACCTTCAGTTGAGAGTCAAGTTAGTTTCCGTCAGACACATATATTTTGCCTAAACCGCATCCACGACTATTTGAGCAAACAAAACGAATGGTTTTAGTCTCTTAAGGCTGGTTTTCACTAGCGACGGAGTTGGAGTCGGAGACGTAAGAGCGCTTATGACCTCGTGAAAATCTAAAATTGGAGTCGTAAGCGAAGTCATAACGGCGACGCAATCCGCGTCGGAAAAATCAGAACGTTCCTATTTTCTTCCGACTCCACTTATGACTCCGTCGTTTACGATCTAATGAGAGCCAGATTGTCGGAAGCGTAAGCAAAGTTCTACGCTATGATTACGACTCCGACTCTTAGTCCGTCGCTAGTGAAAACCAACCTTTATAAGTACCTAATTAATTGATTTCTTACGTTTATACGTAATACCAAACCGTAAAATTCTGCTTCTGAGGAGAATAACGTTATTATTATGGTGTCATTACGGTTCACGACTTTCACTTACAGTTAATTAGTTGCCTTAGGTGTAAGTGGTAGCACAATAGATGTTTTATTCAAGACATCGACAATTTTGGCAAACAAAATGTGAAAGCTTTTAATTTAAGCGCGAAACAGTACTCACAGCACGTTTTAAGACTTAAACCACTTTAGTAAATACTAAAACAGCGGATAGTGTTTTTCGCGCGCTCTGATTGGCTACTCAATCCGTGAATATCCTGCACTATTCACTGATTCACCTCCAGTTCCTCCTAACGAGCGACGCCAAACTCGTGTAAGTTGCGAGCAAAATACCTTCTCGGTTTGCTGCCGTAACAAAGAAATTTCACAACTTATCAAGCAATCTGTTCCCGAAATACACGAAGAAGGTGACGAAGTTCGGTTTGGAAATTTTAACAGGTAAAGCTTTGTGTTTTTGACTTGAATTTATCGATAAAACCGGTGAAAAAGTTTTTTGTTTACAAATGCAAATTAAGCTTAAGTCTTGCGTTAGTTTGTCTAGTTGACTTGTTTATAAACAAGCTCAAAACTAAATTTAATAATCTATTTTACAGAATGATTTTAAATACAAAAAGAATTCACAACTCCTTTTTGAAGAAATTTCCCCGCAAGAGCTAAACAAACGCCTTCAGAAGTTTTATTTGTCGGCAAGAAAAAGCGACGACCGCGATCGTTCGGTCATCGCGCACCAAAATTGTAATCGTTGGCAGCAGAAAATGAGTTATAAATCATCATTTTTGCGCTCAACTATCTCACTGTTTCAGTATATACTAAAACAATTATTCACCTCAGTGTCCGTGGCTAGTGGTGGACATAATAACCACTACTAGCCACCTCCACTTCGGTGAATAATTGTAAATGAATTATATTTTTGAGGTCGTTCTACAAAGTTAGAACATATCAAAATATGGTGTGGTCAGTGTTACCCTCATTTGCTTCAAAGTACGCCAAATTTTGTGATAATCGTCTCTTTATCATCGAACCAGCAACCATAGAGGACATAAGGATAACTGCATTCCACTGAAATGTAGTGAAAATCAGATTCCATGACTTCATTTCATCGCAGTCTTTTGGAATAAGAAATCTCTGTCCCTTTTTTATAAAACAGGTTAACACCTTCTATTTCCCAAATGACGAGGGATATTGCCTTTTTCCATCTTTGCAAACACAATCAATTATTCCATTTTCGTCTGTGTACTTTTCTTGTTGTCGCGGAAAGAAAATTAGATTAAGATGTCTGTATGATTGACATTTCTATGAAATACTAATGGTTGGAGTTTTATTTAACCGCTGCCGAAATCTGATAGAGTCTTAGCTCACCTGTCATTGGGTAAATATAAAAGCTGAGCGACTTCATCTGGGAAATGGAAATAAAATTAGTACTCTCTGTGCTGCGCGTTTATTAAGCTAAAGAAAATTAATTGCCTTCAAAATATTTTTAGCTTTTGTTTGATTTTTACGCAATTTCAGGAAAGGACACCTTTACCAAAATTGCCCCACAAAAAGAGAAAGAGAAAGAAGAGGGAAAGAAAAAAATACAAGTACTACACAAGGAAAAAAAAGATATATATGGGGTATTAAGATTTAATGTGAATGTATTTTTTGGAAAAAAAGAGCAATTTGGTTTGTATATAAACAGGAGATTCGTTTGTGTAAAAAGTTACAACATACATCCATTATGGGAAACAATGCAAACTTAAAATACCCGCTGGGAATTTATCCTTCGGTTGCTTGTAGAATGCGATGACCTGTCCGATCGTGGCACTCACTTTAACTTGGAATACTCTTTTTTTTGTGAATTTTTTTGAGACCCAAAATAATTACAAGTGCTCTTTTTCACCCCATTCTGATTCCGATTTCAAACCTGAACAAGTTAAAAAGTATATACAGTATTTAAGTTCAGAATTAGCACAGGGTCTCTGTCTGAATTATGGGATAAGTTATTATTTAATTTTTGTGTTCGAGCTAGTTAAGAATTAATGTCTTCGACAAAGACTGTTTTGAAAGACGTCCAGCAAACATGAATTGTGTGGCGGGTATGAACTATAATTTAATCACAACTAGAAATTGTAGCTAGGCAGTCAATCTATATGCTTTCAAATATTCACCATTCACAACCACACTTACCAACTTTATTGAAAATTAGCTTAAGGAATGACTCATTCTATACATAGGCTTTTCTTATGATTATTATTTACCGAACAGAACCCCGTGTGAATAAAGTTCCTTTTATCAGAATTTTCTCAGAGATTCCATCTCAAACTCATATTACGTTTCTTATCAAATCCAGTATTCAACAAGCATTTACATATCACAGGCAGAATGACTGATGTTATAAGACCAGGGTGCTAATGCGGTACCCAATTCTCAGTTAAGGGACCGGTCATTATTTATCGTCGGAAGGGGGGAAGGGGGGGGGCGGGGGGGGAGGAATTTTGTTGCGACATCGGAGCACTTACTAGCCTGAATTTCATCCGATTACTTCGAGTCGTTATTATTTCCTCAGTAACGTCGGAATCGACCGGCCGTTAATGCCGTCCTGTGACGTCACTACTCCTACTCCATGCAAGAAGTAAAACACGATTTTCAAGTGGCAAACCGAAAAATACCGTTTGGAAATGTCTGCATGACACAGAATTGTTTTAGTTTTTTCGATCGTAATTCATGTTTAACGTTCAAACTATCAGCTGCTTGCAATACAACTCTGAACAGGTTGTAGTTCTATAATCAAACTCGGTCGCAACACGCAATGAAATAAACACACACACGGAACACTTAGTTCAAAACACAATGATTTGCATTGCTTTAATTGAAAAGAAGCTATTTGGTCCTCAACGAAGAGAAAAAACAAGAAACGAAAAGGAAACGCTAACAGAATCATTACACTTGACGGTGAAAATAGCAAGAAGGTCGAATTATAACATTGACCTCAGAAAACTTCGCATAAACAAAATCACCGGCCGCCGAAACCACGAAGCGGCGCTCTAAATGAAAAACCTACCGACTCTCCGCAATGATTCTTCATTTGCAGTTCAATTTAGCATTTCAGTTTCGAAGACAAGGGCAATTTTGCTGTTTAAGATAAAAATTAAGCTCATCGAAATGTTTGAACTACACCGAAGAATGCCAGGGTTGCGATCCGCTGAATATCAAGCGACAATCCCGCTAAAATGTTTCATAATTATACATAATTATGCGAATGTTTAGACAATTAACTAATCAAAATCACTACACGGTTTTCGGGTAGTGAGTGACGTCACTGGACGGCATTAACAGCCGGTCGATTCAGACGTTTCTGAGGGAGTAATAACGACTCGATGTAATCGGATGAAATTCAGGCTAAGCACTTACGTGATCCCCCTTAAAGCGTACAGTGTGGTTTTGATACCACCCCCCCCCCCCCCCGCCCGCGCACGTTTCGCTGACCCCCCCTCCCTCCTCCCCCCCCCCCTCAAACTCCAAGACCAAACTACCTATTGACGCTCTCGGGCGGCACGCGCACCAGAGGACCGAATCACCTCCTCGCAGAAACTGCAATGCGCAAGCTGTGAACCTGTTCTCCCCCATAACGCGTAAGGGGGTCACTGCTTCACCCCCCCCCCCCCCCCCCCCATCGACGATGGCAGATTTCATGATCCCCCCTCTCTTTTCCCAGCTACCACAAAAATCAAGGACAGTTCTATCATTTGGACGCTCTGGGCAGCTACAAGTCCTGAGGAACGACTCAGCATCGCCAGAAAAGGAGTCCTGGGAACAATTTCTGCTTCCTAACCCACATACCGATAGGTTGAAGTTTTACAACGGTGCTACTAGGCAGATTTCAATCTGCTTTTTGTAGTAAACAAGACGGATTCAAAGAGTATCTCCTTGAACAACAGCAAATGCGCTGGCAGTTAAATATAAAAATAAAAGATTTGTCATATAGGGAAAACAATCTTCTGCGAAACGAGAAGTGGGGGGTATTTCAAAATATCACAAAATTCATTACAGTCGTGGATGGTTGCAAGAGTAGCGATGACGTTGTCAAGTGTGAGTCCTGCTTGACTACTATAAATTACACCTTGAAATCCTCAGCAGATTTGTTATTATTCATCGACAGCAAGCGAAAAGTCCCTTATAGAGAAGACCATAAACCATACTCCAAAACCCTTTGCAAGCCACGAGCTGAAATATTTTCAGGAAGCTAAAGAACGAGTAAAGGTGCTCCACGAAAACTTCAAGAAGCCTCAAATAAGATGGCAACAACCCTAATAAACATGAAAAGGAAGTTTCCGTCTCGCATTGGGAAAGATCGACAATAGCGCAGGAAAAAACAGAACAAAAGGAAGGTGAAAAAATTAAAGGAGAAGCGTTTACAACAGAGGGCACATGTACACTTGCTTCTCGAAAAACTCACCGCAAGAGAGGTAGCTGGAGAGGTGTTTGATGCAGTCAAAACTAACAACAGTTTTAACAAGTATCGCAACCATCAATGCTGAGTTAACCGGAAAATTGGTCAGGCGTCTTTATCTCAGTCGACCCTCTTCTATGGCTGCTTGAAAAAGGCGTTTTTAAAAAACATTACCCGTACCTTGCAGGTAGCAATGGCCAGTTTAAACGGAAAAAGCACCGAAGATTTAAGCTCGAACGAGGACTCTGCTGATAAATCGGACGAGGAGGATATCCAAGAGTTAGCAGAGGATGAAATCCAAGAATCAGTGGAGGATGCTCAAGAGACGGTAAAGGGAGGCGTCCAAGAGGCTGTGACACTAATCTAATCACTTGTTGATATACCAGGTATATATTTCTTACTTCTGTTATTGTTGTTTGAAATGACGGTGTACCGCCACGTTTATCGAACGTTCTTATTACGGGGATACCTTTCAATGACTCTAAAGAATTTAAAACATGGAACTTTGTGGACATTCAAACTATAGAACTTAAACATTCGTTAGCATCACGTTAAATACATATAAGCACAACCACTGACTATTTCATTAGATTAGTTCGTGTCTGAACAAGATCATCAAAAAGGCAATAAATTGATCCCACCGCTTCAAATAATGTTCTCCTTTTTTTTTCCTCGTTCCCCCTTAGTGCCTGTCAATTAGGGCTCATGCCCCCTCTGTTCTCTTAAAAACCGTGTGATCCCCCCAAAATCCCCTCCCCCCGCCCCCGGCGACAAATAATGGCCGGTTCCTAAATAATAATTTTTCGGCCAAATATCAGGTGAGTTAACTACTATTTTTTTTGGCCAATTCTCAGTTAACTACTAATTTTGGTTAGCTATTAACTTTCATTTTCCTACAGCTGATATTAATTTTTTGCGTAATGATCATAACGCGATCAAATTTTCTTTACTTCAGCACGTCAATCACTTCTGGAGGTAGGCCCTACTAAAATCCAGGTATAAATTTACACGAATTCACATAAACTCCGCCTCTAATACAAAATTTATAAGTAACTGAAAATATAGAAAAGAACGTAGTTATCTAACCGAAGTAGTAAAAAATGGGTAGTTATTAAGACCCCTGTTAACCGATTTTTTTGTAAGTGCATGCGCAAATAAGATTAAGTCGTATAACCATCAATATGACACCAGCCTCATAGATCCAGACGCACCAGTCACGATCTCGTACTGATCTTCCCGACCTGGTCATGCATGTCCTGCCATAAACTACTTCAAAGTCACAAAGGCCTAAGTTTCCATCCATTTTCAATCTTTGAAATCTATTGCAACAGACGACCGGAAACAATATCAATGCTAAGATAAAGTCTTAAATAACAAAACTGGACCATTATCTTTTGAATTCAATTAATGCAAAAAAAAAGTTTAAAATTTTTAAAAAGATAGCAAATTGCATTACATAGTTCCGTGACGCTGGTGGTAAACATCCCGCTTTATCTTGAGTTGATTCGCTTCTTATAGTTCGTTGTCAAACAGGTCGAAAGTTCTCTATCCAGTTCCTCATCACAAGTTCATCTTCTTTTGTCACTCTTTGTACCGATGGCAGTATTTGACACTGGACAATTAAAATTTTCGTGTGTGTAGCCCACTTCGAATTCGTACTTCTTTTAAGCGATTCCTTCACTGTTGTTCCAAAGTCTTAGGCGTAGTTAAAAGGTCTAAATATCGGTTTGTGTTAAAATGAGAAACCGCGGGTAGGTTTTCCACCTGAGTTGCCAGAAGTTTTTTGTACCCGGCGATACAGACTTTGTCGACATCCTCTTTTGCGTCCCTTAATGTCACCATTTTCGCAGACGTACCTTTTTCGCGTCTTTCAAAAGGGTCATAAAGATATCCAACAGTTTTAAGAAGTGAAACTGTTTCAGAAAGACCGGTTTAAACACGTCGAGCTTAGTTAGATCTGCAACATCAGTTCCAAAATCGATTTCTCGTCAGCACAAATTCCATGAATTTAAAAGATAGATGCTGATTTCTTTAAGCCATCAGAAGGTTATTTTGGCCAGATCCCATGCTATTAGAGTCACTGACAGCTTTTTTTTTTTGGTAGTAACGTTTAATTTGACGATCTTTCGGATCCGTTTAAACAGTATTTTCTTTTTCCGGACACAGAAATCTTGTTAATATTATACTAGAAGACGAATTATTCTTTGAGTTGTCTACAACGTAAAATCATCTCTACGACTGACGCTTTCTGTTTGCCGGGTACTGCTTTAGTGCCTTTTGCACATAGTAATAGCTGAGGCCAAACTACAGACTTTTTACCTACTAGGCAAACTCGACTTTTTGTTGACAGTTTACCAAGGGAAACTAGAGTTTATTTTTCCCTAGGTAACTTACCTCGGGGAAATTTTATCGTCTGGGTCTTGGCTATGTCTCGAGAACAATAGAGTTTTCCTTCACAGCTACCCCAAAGCGATAGCTAGGGAAAAATGAAATACCGAGGTTGTTAGCCAATAGACGCTCACTGTTCCTTTCATGAAAGGAGTAACAGTGGTTACGCAATAAAGCCAAAAAAACAGTAAATGACAATCAAACACCCAAATGCAGTGGAATACATTGCAGGTAAGTCTTTTTTATTCATTTCATTTAAGAAAAGTAAGGTTTAGCGTTATTAAGCGTTCGCAGATCTCCGTAATATATTTCTCATACAAAGACTCTTATATTTTCAACGGTCGCCTGTAACGCGACACCGGCGCGTCACCTATGGTGTGTAAATTACATTACACCCTCCCCTCGTAACGTGAGTTTGGGCCGCCTGTGGTAAAACAAAACCCGAGATGAATTTACCTGGGGAGATTTTTGATGAATTTGCCCTAGGTAAAGTCGGTTTTACCTAGGTAACAGTCTGTAGTGCGACCACAGCTAATATCAGTTAAAAGGGAGTTAATGTGCCACCGTGTCATCAGCGGGAAAGAATTCGAAAAAAGTCAGAAAATAGCATTCTGTTTGCAAAGCTTTGTTGCTTTAATTGACATCAACGATCGTATTCAGTATAATTAATAGAATGTCACTTAACTGTTAACCTTTCATTTCTGAGTTAACTACTAACTTTTTGGCCAATTATCGGTTAACTACTATTTTTTGGGCCAAATACTAGTTCACTGCTCCTTTATGTCTATGAAATGAGTAAAAAGTCCCAGTTCCGTGGTTTTGTGATTTTAAGTCAAAGGTAGTAGAAGCTATTTTTATCCTTGTGTTGAATCTAAACGTTCCGACGTAGCTTTGTATCTGCATGTTCTAGTTTCTACAGGGAATCTATCAATAGCGTTTTTTCTTGTTACTGGGAGAAAATCGGTGCTAACTTCTCATAAATGTCAGGAGCCCATAACCTGGCGCGAGAAACTTCCATGCACTCGTGTCACGGCATTTTCACCGACCATTTTATTTTTAGAATGATTTCATCTTTTAAGTCCCAAAAACCAGTCAGCAGAACGTAAAGACTATAGAGACCTGAAAATGGTATTTTTGACCTTTTATTAATTAATGACTTTAGTTCAGTTTTCATTTTTCATATATTATACTCCAATGTGCTCATAGACAGAGCGGAGCTTCCTTTTTTGCGAGAAAATGCGATCTAAAATGTATCTAAAAATAACACGGTCCTTGACAACGCCGTGAAATAGGCCTAGTATGGGAGTTGCTCGCTCTGGGAACTGTATCTTAGTCGTTTCATACTTCAGTAGGTTCCGACACTGAGTACGCTTTAGTGGAGTTTTTATCCAGCGATTTGTCTGTAGGTGGTGGCTTGAGATGCTTTATCAGTCTTTCTTCCCAGTTTTTCCTCACGGCAAAGTCATTGTAGTCCAGGAAGGTTCTGTTACGAAGCGCCTTTGGAAGTTTACGACAATCAACGCCATCAATCCTCATCACGATCACAGACGAGTCACCCATCTCTGTACTTCGGTACAGTGCCATTTCCAGTTCACCGCGGCAAAACTTGCTTGAAAGATAATTGCGTGACATAACAGCCAGCACTTTCCGACTGGTGTACACGCTTTCCGCCATATTGTCTATCACAGGCTTGCCAATCTCAAAGTCTCTGTGGTGTATACAGTAGTTAAGTTTGTGTTTTTCCACCAGCGGTATCAACTCTTTCTTAACCCAGTTTAAGTCGCGGCTGCTGAAAGTCACAAACACGTCATATTTAAACTGACGACCGTTGTCTTTCGTTTCTGTTAAAAGGCAAATTAATAAGGGTCATATTAGTAAAATAGGGCAAAAAGTAAAAGGCAGCAATTGCAATGAGGTTTAAAATTTTCGAAGTCATCCAAGACATAAAGGCTACAAGCTTAGTTTTAGGAACAGGAACTTCTATTTAAATCTATCTTACGGGTACAGGTACAGGTAGGTCAACATGTTTGTCACGCAGTTATAGAAAAGTTAACGATGATTTCCCAGATATGATAATGGCATCACCGTTCTACCCGGTGGCCTACCCGTTTCTCCGTGGTAAGAAGCAATCTACCCTTATTTACGGCTACGCGTACGGGTAATTTACCCGTACTCGTACACGGAAACGGTGTATCTTAAGGTCTCTTAACGGTAAGAATCTAACATTATTTTTTTGTTTTTTGGATTAATAGAGACTTAGTTTCGGTCAGAACGTCAAATAGAAATAATTAATCATTAATAACTAATTATACGTATTAAATAATTGCCCAGCTACTTGACTTTGAATTGAAGATTTTAGAAGAAACTGGTAATATTATTCTCTGGGGGATCTTCGAATAAAAAGTGATTACAATCTTATGTCACTTTTTCCTTCTTGAGAAACTTCAAAGGGAGTACACATAAAAAAAGCTGGCCTTTTTTTTCTAATGTACAAGTCCACAACAATTTCCATGGCCTATACCTTGTCGATCATAGAGAAGACGTGATGATGTTGAAACTTTGCAGAGAAACAACCGCGATTCGACTCGTGAAGGCACTTAAAGTGTTGAAAAATTTGGCGTCATTTCTATGGGTAATAAGAGTACAGGCCATGGGGAAGTTGTGAACACCCTTACCGAAAAAGGGGTGTCCGGTATTTCTCTTGCTGCGGCATACCCTATAAGCAACGAACACTATGACAACAACCATCATTATACCACCTGCCGTAGTGAAAGAAATGGTTGCCAATGGAGAGTTCTTGGATCCGTGCTCCTGCAGAACTTCACCAAGTTCTGTAAAAATACATGTTTACAGTGAGACCACACGAACTGAGGCCACCCAGACAAAAAATGGAGACAAATTTTGAAAGTAGCCTATCACAAGTCCAGGTCTAAACAATGAAATTGCTCATAATTTTGTACTCAGAGCCAGTTCAGAATACGTTACAAACCAGTTTTCTAAAGGATATCAATAATAAATCGTGACTTTTGTGTAAATCAAGCTGAAAAATGTTTGACAACGTTTCAGTTGGCCGGAATCAAAGCCTGCAGTAAAGAAATTTTGAACAATCAGAACTAAAAAAAGACGACGGCCGCTTATTACCAAAGATCGTTTATATTACAATAAAAACCCGCCTATAAGAACCTAACATTTAAGAACCTGTTAGGCTAAAATTTCATTTTTAAGCACTCTTCACATAAGAACCATTTAAGGCTAAAATCCTAAAACAGGTTCTTATTTTCAAAAAAAAAAAAAAAAAAAATATATATATATATATATATATATAATTTTTAAAAAAAAAAAAAAAAAAAAAATATATATATATATATATATATATATATAACACAGTCTGTATGCAATAATACTCTAAACACTATAGCACGGTTACATAAAACTTTACCATAGGTTTGATTGTAACAGAATCAGATAATTTTGCTTAATGAAGCCTCCAAGAATACTGTTTTTGGACATTAAACACCAGATCATTTAAAAATTCAGCTTTATTTCTTGAACAAAAGTTTAGAACCTAATTAAGAACCTGGTTAGCCTAATTTTACACTAAATACCATTTGTATAAGAACCTGTTTAGGCTAACTTGGAAAAACTTAGGTTCTTATACGCGGGTTTTTACTGTATGCGAAGGAATTTTGGATTTTTCTGTTCCGTCAATCATCTTAGCGGACCTCCTAGGAAAAAGATGATCTCTTCAACGAGTTCAAAAGGTTATGGTTTGTGATTGGTGGATTTCGATCCGTTTTGCTTGTTTCTGTGTTTCATTGGGTTCGTTGCTCATTTTGGGGCAATCATCGACTAGTTTGCTTCGAACATTTTTTCTGATCTTTCCTATTTTTGTCACTTGCAAAAATAGAGCAATGTCTGCCTCCTTCCCTCGACAAAAATTCCACAAACCATGGAGATTTCCTTCTCTATTCTTAAGCAGTCTAGAGTCATTCTCAGTTTTGTTTTTGAAGTGTAAGTGGGCGAGTGCGTTGCAGTGTAATTTGCATTAACCTGCCCCATATCTTTGTAATCATCGACACTGCGATATAATCGGTACTCAGCGCCGTCTGCTGTAAAATGAGAGGCTGTCGCCTTAAGTTCGGATTGTTCAACTTTTCTTTACTGCTGGCTTTGATTCCGGCCAACCCAGACGATGTCAAAACATTTTTGAGCTTGATTTAGGGTGCGTCAGTTTCTTTGGGATGAACGGGATCAGGATCAGTCAGTGATCCGAGATCATTCACATCATGCTAGATCAAATGAACCAATGAATCCTTGTCCAGAGTGGATTCATCGGTTCATTTGATCTACCATGATCTGAGTGATCTCGGATCACTGATCCTGATCCGGATCATCCCAAAGGAACGCACCCTTACACAAACGTCACGATTCCTTATATATTATATCCTTTACAATACAATTACAGTACAATTATGCGCAATTTCATTCTTCAGATCTCGACTTGAGACTGGCTAATTTCAAAATTTGTCTCAAAATGTTGTCTGAGTGGTCTCGCTTCGTGTGGTCGCACTGCAAAAGAAAGAAAGGAAAAGGCACAAGTTGTTGAATATATTTTTTTTTCATCTCGGTCATCGAAAGACAAAGACTATTATTAATAGTTTATTTGTCGTAGTAGAGTATTTTACTTAAAATAATAATTATAAAAGTAAATTATCATTATCATTAAAAAAATCTCCCAGATTCCTTTGAGAAAATTTTTTAAAAAGTTTTAACTTTGACAATTTTATACGTAGAAGACTGTCAGACCAAACGGCTTGGAAACTAAAATTCTAAGGACTTTTTTGGATTTTTATCCTTTAGGGCATGAATTTTGCGTCATTTCAGGCCATGGAGCTTAAATATGAGCCTAGCTAGCCGTAAAAAGGGGAAATACGCCCTAGCCGGCATGATCACATGCTGTTTAAGGAAAATTCCCTCATCCATGTAAGGAAATTCTGTATTTTTAAGCCTCCCCTAGGGCATGACTCAGCAACTGCGGACATTTCTGCTACGTTTTCAATGTTGGTCATTTAGCATGCAAGGATTTTTCCCATGCCTATTGTCAATGATTTGCTCACTGGTGATAGAGCGGGTGGCTCCAGAGTGTTTTTACATTTAAATTGGCATGCAACAGAAATTTGCATGCCCTGTAAGCATATTTTGAGGTTCCGTGACCTTTCCACCAGCGCCGCGAGAAGCCTAGGTTCTAATAAGAAATTAATACCCAGCATGCCTCGCGTGCCAAAATCTCCGGCATGCCGGGCATGCCAAAATCAGAATCTGGCGTGCCCTAAACGAACTTAAACGCACACGTTAGTTCCTTGAATCTACAGATATTTAAGCCTGGCTAAATAAAAATTTGGACAGATCGCCGTGCTTATCTTTTGATGTACAGGTTATAGCTCATTTACACAATGACGTCATTCTATTCTTTTCATTTGTATAAGTTTGGTAATCCCAGCGAAGTTTAAATAACAAAAGCTCTTATTTGCACAAGAAAGCAAAACCCTGACTGTTTCTGGTCGTGGTAATAAAATAGGGTCATCGTGCAGATGACCTATTGGGGTATTGTAGAAACTCCTCCCCCCTTTTAAGAGGATTCCCATTTCACATTGCGAATAAACTGGTTTGACTGAAATCAGTAAAAACAGAAACAGAGACTGTTTTCGTTGTATAATAAAATGCGTCTACGTTCCATGAAAGCTTTCTAAAATACAAGGTATGAGAATACCTTTCAAAGTTCATTACAATTAAAACTGAGCCAAGCTACAAAATCAGACTGTCCATTATTCAGTACATTATGATGTTTGACAATGCAATGTGCTTGAATGTAATGTTGCAATTACAAAGCTCTCTAACGCAATTGTCCCTATGTTAAAAAAGCTGTTTTTATCTTCTTTCGCATTTTTTAATTCGTGTCATCATCAGTGTTTACGTTCTTTGTTTTAACTCAAGGTTAAGTACGTAACTGACAGTATCAAAGAATTGCTCTCTAGGAAAGAAATGATCTCCTCTTTGTCATTTGTGGACGATATACCTGTAACAAAAAAGAAATGGAATGTTAATACATACAAGGGCAATATGGGCAATATGGTGTATAAAAAAGGGAACCTATCAAATGAGAAGTTTATAAAATAAGCTTGGGCCCGGTTCAGACGCCGAACTTTTCATGAGCCGAATCTAATACATTGAATTAAATACATGTAAAGTTCGTCGTCTGAATCACTTAGGAACGCCTGTTTCAATTTGGAACGGCTGAGCCGTTCTTTTCGCCTAGCCCGGCCGGGAATTTCGCCTTTGGGGCAACTTTTTTGGACCGGCTTTGATGCAGACGCCGAACGTTTCATGTACCGAACCTAATGCGTAAATTATTATAACGTATTTTGTAAGCAGTTTGACCGAAATGAGCATTTTTCCCCCTTCTGAACTTAGTTCAGTGTCTGAATCAATTCAGTCAGTCTGAATAATTTGGGTCGGCCTTAAAATCTTAATTTTTTTATATTGAACATGTTAATTAGCTTAGTTTTGGTCGTTTTTAAAAGCTTTATAACCAAATCATATTTTTTGGGTTAAAATAGTACAAAATCATTTCAAAAACCATGTTCATTAAAAGTAGAGCCGACATACGTGAACATTTGTAAATCAAAATCGGACCGAGTCAGGTTGTTTGCAAGAAATTCTTATTTAAGGTTAAGTAAAGCTTAGATTTTTTGGCATTTTAGCGTTCTATGAATTTATCCGAATCGCCTCTCAGAGGCTTGCTGTAGTGAAGCATTTTGTAGCACACTCGTAGACAAGTGATGTAAGGCATAAGTCTTTACTTGGATGAGACGTCAAAAGGCAAAAAATTAGTTTTATGGACCTAAACGCACATTCAAAGACTACTTTTAAAGCTTAATATTGAGTTGTTTACAACTTTGCATTGACATCTGCAGCACGTTCATTTTTTTAAAGCTAAATCTAAATCTGATTTTGGCATTTGGCATTTGGTTTGTCTCCAAAGGTGATTGTAATATAAGTATGATTGTCTTTCAAACAACAGTCAAACTATGCGGCAAAATTGTGATCATCTCCAGTTCGCAAAGTAAGTTTACCAGTACAAAAAAATATGAGCGAAGGTGCCAAAAACAATTATTCTGAGTAAAAAAATTAGATCTGACTCTTTTAGGGTTGGTTTCTATATTTTTGAAGTTTTCTGTAGTCTTCTTAACAGCAGACGAAGACTAGAAGACGGACAAACAGAAACAATGTATCCGAAGAAAACGACTCAGATTGACAACCACTTATACCTGAGAGTTCTAAGTATGCTCAACAGTAAAATAAGCCCTGGAATACCAAAAGGATAATTCATGGCATTTGTTCGATATTCAGGCTTTCTCATTACTAAATTAATACTAAATTTGTACTTACAGTCTCTCGCAGAATCCATTTCTTGTCCAGCATTCACCAACATCTCAACAACAACAACAAAAAAATGACAAACAAGTGCGAAGAGACATGACGGCATCTTGACGCCACAACTGCTACGTTACAACAAAATAGATTCATCGTGATCCGGAAACACTTCGGAGGAAATTCGGCCGATTTCGCCTTGTATCTGTACGGTCTCCGGGTATCTTCGAATGGAGTAGATGACGTTGCTGCAAGGACTATCGTCAGCAAGGAGCAAACCAGTTTTGCGAGATTCGCATAGCCCGACAAGAAGCGCACTAAAAAATCTAAGCAAAATTTATCTGAGACGGCAGTCCAAATTCACCAAATCGGAACGCCTTTGCAGTATTAACGTCGTACTCTGGTACTGACTTGAACGACCTGGTAAGCTAAATTTTCACCAACCTTTTAATGCTGTTGACCGGGAAACATTCCGACGCGAAAAAACTTAACGCTTGTGGATAAGTTTATACTAAGAAGATTTGTTGTCTCCTTGTTTAAAACGATTTTTCGGGATCAAATTAAAAACTGGACCCAGAAATGTTATCGGCGTCCCCAAATTAGTAAGGGATTTTTCCCTGGCTAGACTGCTTTGACACTTTAATAAAGTTTCTATCTATCCATCCATCCATCCATCCATCCATCCATCCATCCATCCATCCATCCATCCATCCATCCATCCATCTATCTATCTATCTGTTTAAAAATAGCTGACGCTCATGCGCCCATAAGAACGCGGCGAGTAAGAAATAAAAAATCCCCTTGGATTACTTCTGATCTGAGGGAGCTGATAACAGGTCGAAACAGACTGAAAAGGCAGGCTATATTAACAAAAAAGCCATCCATCTGGGATAAATATAGAAAAGAAAGAAATAGAATCAATAATGAGATTAAAATGGCAAAAGCGAATTATTATAAATCAGAAGTGGAACAAAATGTGGGTAACCCAAAGGAAATATGGAGGACAATCAATGAATTAACATATCGTAAGTGCACTAGTAACTCTTCAATAAGTGAACTAAAAAGTGGTGATAATTCCTTTACAAAACCCGCAGAAATGTGTGAGATTTTAAATGCCATTTTACATCTGTCGGTCCAAACCTAGCCTCCATACTGCCTAGTGGAAATACAAGTTTTGACTCGTACATAAAGCCTGTTTCCACGACTTTTAATTTACAACATACCTCTGCCACTGAAGTTTTAAGGTTATTAGGTAAATTATCTCCGAACAAGGCCACAGGCCTTGATAACATCTCATGTCGGCTTCTAAAAGAAGCTGGCCCAATTATTGCCACTTCTTTAACCTGTATCATAAACAAAACCATAGATACTGTCCTCTTTCCTTCACAGTGGAAAATGGCTAAAGTATTTCCTTTGTATAAAAAGGATGATCGCACAGATGCACAAAACTATAGACCAATATCTGTCTTGCCAGCCATTTCTAAGATTTGTGAAAGGGTAGTCTACGATCAACTATACAGGTACTTAAATTCAAATGGCCTGTTGACAAAAAACCAGTCTGGATTTCGTTCCCTTCACTCTACAGTGACAGCGCTGTTACATTTAACAAATAATTGGTATCTTAACATTGACAAAGGCATGACCAATTTGATTGTGCTTCTCGATCTTGCCAAAGCCTTTGACACCGTTTCACATAATATTTTATTAAAAAAGCTTGAGCTCTATGGTCTGAAGGGTGTAACGCTCGACTGGTTTTCATCGTACCTATCAAATAGGCAACAGCAGTGTGTAGTAGAGGGCTGTGTATCTAAGCCCCAGTTGATAAGTTGTGGTGTTCCACAGGGTTCAATTTTAGGCCCTTTGTTGTTTTTAATTTATATCAATGATCTCCCTGGATGTCTTCTCCATACCAAAGCACACATGTATGCCGATGATACCACGATATATGCGTCCTCTGTATCCACTGCTGAACTATATGCCAAGGTAAATAATGACCTAACTCGCGTTAGGGACTGGCTTCTTGCAAATAAGTTAAGCTTAAATGTCACTAAAACGGAGTATATGTTCTTAACAACTACCTTCAAATTATCTAACTTAGGAAGAGACTTTCCAATTAAGATTGGCAACAATCATGTTAAACGAGTCCAAACAACAAAATATTTAGGAATTCACTTAGATGAAAATCTTAAATGGAACGAGCATGTTGACAAACTTTGTTCAAAAGTCAATCGATCCATCAGTGGTCTAAAACAGGCACGTGATTATGTACCATTAGATGTTCTAAATACTATTTACAAATCTCTTATCCAGCCTGTGTTCGACTACTGCGACGTTGTTTGGGACAATTTAGACCAGGGACTTGCCACTAGGATCCAGAAATTACAAAATCGTGCTGCACGCATAATAACCTTTCAAGGTTATGACGTTCGTTCAGCACAAATACGAAAACAACTAAACTGGGAAGAGCTTGCCTCAAGGCGTCAAAGGCACTTAAGTCTATTAATGTATGATACAGTGAATGGAAATGTACCTAGTTACTTAAGCGATCTTTTCTCGAATGTCTGTGAGAACAACCCTTATAAGTCTATGCTAAGAAATGCGGAATATAATGTTGTACTGGACCACGTTCCAAAAACAGAATATTATAAGGGGTCTTTCTCATACAGAGGAGGAATGCTGTGGAATTCATTACCAAATGACATAAAAGCGTCCGAATCTAAAGCTATCTTTAAAAGAAAACTGGCTAGTAGGCAGGCAAACTGTTGACTACATTTTACTATATTTTATTATTTGTACATATTTTTAGTGTAGTTGTACAGTATTTACTTCTGTTTCTATACGGCTTTCATGTAAAGAAGTTATGTAACTTATGAAATTACCGTATTCAAATAAAAGTGAATCAATCAATCAATCAATCAATCTATCTATCTATCTATCTATCTATCTATCTATCTATCTATCTATCTATCTATCTATCTATCTATCTATCTATCTATCGGTTTGAAATGTAAGGATTAATTGATCTTTCAATCCATTTTTGGCACGAATAATGTTGTTTAGTTTTTTCATACGTTGTGCTTTTTCAATAAATCCAGCTTGGTACAAGAACTTCTATCTGTCTTCAGTTTTGCCATAACTTTTTTTGTTAAAATCTACATTTATTGCAAGGCATGAAACCCGTAACTTCAAGCTCCCCTAAGATATATTTGGCGATTTTTTAAATATACAAATATCATGATATAGTGCTAGAGCGAACACCAAATTCAGTCATGCTGGGCATGCCAATTTCATGCGCGGCATGCCGGGCATGCTAAACCCAACTGGCTTCACAATCGGCATGCCCAGCATGCTAAACCGGACGAGCAAAAACTGGGAATGAAACATCAGCCCGGCGAGAGATGTTGGACCTAAGTTTACCTAGATCAATTTTAGGCTATGAGATGATATTTCAAAGTACCAATGGTCCCTTTAATTTTGTCATGCCTAAATATATAAAATTTCGCCCCTCTCATTAATCCTCAGACTGAATGCAATTTTTTACGCTCGCTAGGCATATTCAATTAAAAAACCTGTATAAAGCGGTATAAGGGTCAAAATTCAGTTCCTAATAGGGACATAAAGGCACAGCGAAAGGCCAGTTCAACGTATTTAGGATAGGCAAAGCGTATCGAGAACAGGCACAGCGTATTAAGGACAGGCACAGCGAAAGGACAGCTCAACGTACTTAGGACAGGCACAGAATATCGCGGACAGGCACAGCGTTTCGAGGACAGGTACGGCGTAACGAGGACATCCGCATCGCATTGAGGACAAGCACAGCGTATCGAGGACGGGCGCAGCATACCGAGGAGGACTGAAAACCAAGAACCCCATAATCCCTTGCCAGCCGGACAAAACATGGCGAGCCGACAGGTGAGTTCATTCAAAATGTTTTGTAAAAAGGGAAGATATTTGTTTTTGTTATATAGTCAGGAGTGTTTTACTGGAAAATATACCACTTTCCATAATCTCACACGTGAGTTTATCGATGACGTAATTTCCGTAATTTCCATCCCGAAATTTGTAGGCGTCTTGCGTCTTTTGAATTTTACTTACACATTTTTCAAAGCTTTACTGATAGTTTGTCATTGTAGAGCCCTATTCAGCTCAGTGTTATTTCTGAAGATCATTGTAAACAATGTCTTATATTACTGTACTGTAAATTTGAGCCGTCACAATTACTTTTTGGCGAATAAAAATCTATTATTTTATCGATGTCATTTTGTCTATATAATAAAAAGAACATTATACGGCGGCTTGAAGATATGAATTTTATTTTCTCTCGTGGCAAAAACAATATTCTACGAACGAGCGCAGCGAGTTAGTAAAATATTGTTTTGCCACTCGAAAATAAAATTCATATCTTCGCTCCACCGTGTAATATCCTATATATACACACTCTGACTGTTATTTAAATTAAAAACAAAAGAAAGATTTGTTTCGACAGCTGATATTTCTCTTGTTGGCACATTATAGTCCCTTGAACGCCCTTTTGCGTTAATGTTCTTGGGTGTCTTGAGTGTCTTCATTACAATGACCACCAGATGCGAAAAAGGTTCTTACTCCAGATGGTGTGCGGATGAATAAACAAGCACAAGCATTCCATTTCTAATGTTTCTTTTTTGTGTGTTATATCATTGAATGAATTCTGGAAATTTTTAAGGCTCGGAAATTCGCGCGACATGGGATTTTTTTCGGGAATTTTTAGAAGTTAAATTTTGGTCCAGGGATTTTTTAGGGTTTTGGTTGAAGCCTTAGGGATGTCATATCGAATCGACTTCAATTTGTACCGAAACGACTTGTATCGAAACGGCTTCTATCGAAACTACCAGGAAACACCAATATTTGCCACCAAGAGAAATATTGGCTGTCGAAACAAATTAAATCTTTCTTTTGTTTTGAACTTGAATAACAGTCAGAATGTGTTTAAGCAAATATGTTCCCTTTTAACAAAACATTCTGATTGAGCTCACCTTTAGGGCCGCCATGTTCTGTCCCGCTGGCAAGGGATTATGGGATTCTTGGTTTTCAGTCCCCCTCGCCGGTCCCGGATACGCTGTGCCCAGTGTCCTCAATACGCTGTGCTTTTCCTTAATACGATGTGTTTGTCCTCGATACGCCGTATCTGTCCTCGTACGCTGTGCCTGTCCTAAATACGCTGTGCCCGTCCTAAGTACGTTGAGTTGTCCTTTCGCTGTGCCTGTCCTTAATACGCTGTGCCTCTTCTCGATACGCTGTGCCTGTCGTAAATACGCTGAGCTGGCCTTTCGCTGTACCTCTTCCTATTAGGATCTGAATTTTGACCCTGATACCGCCTTATAATCATGCCCATATCCTCATTCAAAACAAAATGCTATCCAATTTTAGTTTCTAAGCCGTTACCACCACAAGTTAGATAACATTTGTCATAAAATATCTTCCGATTCACATCTAAGGTAATGACGTCATCAGTCACATGACTTTTTCCGAGTTAGGTTTTTTGTTGCTGTGACAAGATTTCATTAACGAGTTAAAAACAAATAGCGTATTTGAGGTTTTAGTTGCGTGGGGCATTTAAAAATAACCCTTTGACGTCCGGCATTTAAAATTTAAGGGGGTAATGAACATGAGCGAAAAAGTCGGGAGGCTAGGCCGAGGGCTGTAGAGAGTCAACCTTTTATCACACGGCAGAAAAAAAAAAACATGCGGGAAAGTAATGTTCTACCTGATAATTTTTTCATGACCAAAAGAGGGACATGACTTCATCAGTCGCGTGATCAAAGCGTTTTGAATGTTTTAGTTCGTTTTTAAAGTACCTTTTTTGTAGTAAATTGCCAAGTTTTTGCTGTTTTTCTCAACAATTCTTTACACTGTATTGTCTCTGATTAATTATTATTCCATTTTCAAAGCAGAACCAAACAAAAACTGAGCCAGAAGTTTAAAAGTTGTGTAAATTGACCGATATTGCAAGTTAAAAGGAGACCTACTCTTGAGCCTTTTGTAAAATCCTTTTCAACTTGCCGAAATAAATGTTCAACGTTTGTTAATAAAGGAGAACTTTCAAAGCTAAAAGGATGTATTTGGCGGCCATATTGTTTTTCTTCATTCTGGGGAGAGAGGTCATGTAGCAGCCAAAAAGCCAAATGGTTTGCTACCCTAACCTAAAACAATGGAAATAATGATGAACAATGTTGTGTTAATGTTTTCCCCGACCATTTCAATAAAAGCAAATGGAATCACTACTCACTATAGCGGACAACCTTGAACCCTGACTTCGTCGTATAAATATACGGCACCGAAGAAAGACAAAAAAGCTAACCCTTTTTGATCAAGTTATTTTAAGGTTTAAACTCGAAGCTTAATATGGTGTAAAATAATCATAATTTACTTTTACTGGTATTGCTTGTAATAATAATAATAATAATAATAATAATAATAATAATAATAATAATAATAATAACGGAGCCATTGTCTCTGGATTTCGTACGTTTGATTCCCAGGTTTTTATAGATTTCGAAAGTAATACCAAAAAATCTTCCTACAGCTGTTATAACAAGTTAAAAATACTTCATCAAAGCAATACAGCTAAAAACATGTAAAAACGAACAACTTAATGTTCCCACGTTTCGACGACCTCGATCGTGATTTCAAAAGGATTTCAAGCCCTGTACGTTTCCATAAAGGAAGCTAAATTAGTCAAAGACTACTCAATACTGTGTCTAAAAAAATGCAAAATACCTGATGCTTCTTCCTTGGGGAGGAGCAGGCAGATGTTTGTTGCCTCGACCAAAACATCTTTATTGAATTTCACGCCACAGGAATAATAACAATCAACATCCTCCAAGCTGACGTTAAAGATTTCAAGCTTCACGAGTTTTCTTTTATACGTTTCTGTGTTACACAAACTGGGATCATTGCGCGGCATGCCATCTGTCATTTTATAATGCTTGGAACTGTCTGTAATTAATGTGTGGTTGACTTTCCAGTAAATATCTGGTGATGTATTCGTAAGGACATTAGGATAGATGACTGTGCATGATAGTGTCGCAGAAGTATGAAGCTTTACAAAATAAACGTTCTTTACCAGAACATAAGGGAAAGAACCTGCGAAGAGATTTAAACTTTTGTGAGTGAGATCTAACCATAATTGATTTGCTTGTAAATCATACCATTTATCAGAAAAATAAAATCCGAAAGTACGATCATAGATACGTAAAATGGCTATTTAGGACCGCACGTTGACATCCATCCAAGTCAGTGTATTACCACAATGATGAGCTTTTGCCAAGATTAAAGAAACGTTTTACATATGGAGACCAACTAAGCCAAATTGCTTTTCAGTGACTAACAAGGTAAAAGCCCTAAATCGAGGTGCTAAAGAAGTTTTTGAAAAGAATTTTTAGATAAACAAGTATCAATTTCTTTAAATTAGAACTGTATTTCTTTTTACTTTTTCAAATGGATCGCAGCCATTACACAGCAACTTGTATTTTTGGTAATATATAGAAAAATATCCTACCTTTTTGTAAGACATGCAGCTTTGATTGCTTTTCTGCAAATCCCTGAGTGGTGTTTATTCCACACAAGTATTTCCCCTCGTCAGCCTTCGAAAGGTTGAGTATGGTCAGCACAATCTTAACCAGACCGGTACCGTTGCCGGGACCTCTCTTAGATATCATGGTCCTTGCTGATCGTTTAACGTTATGATTTTTGAATTTCCAGTAAACATAAGCACTGTCCTCATTACATTTATTCGGTTGGCAAGTGCATTCTAATGTGGTATTCTTGCCTTCCAATGCTACAGCAGCAAACTGGTCCAAATCATTGGTTAGGAAGATTTCTTCTGTTACCACTACCAAGAATTTAATCAGATAAGAAAATCGTGTATCTTTACAACGCCAGCACTCCCCCTTTTCCTTCTCGTCTTAAAGGGATCGGACTATGTCACGAGGGTATTGCTGTTCTATGTTAATTCTGAGCTGATGTCATTACTTAGACGCCTTTAATCAGAGAGCAGTGTTAACCTTGATATTTTTAATTGTTGCTTTTTTACAGGCTTAGCATTAAAACTTGAAAAAGGGTGGGCTAACTTTTCGGCCATGTTTCAATTCATTGCTGATCCTTGCCATTCGCTGCAAAAGACGACAGGAAACAGTTGCCCTGCCTAAATATAGTCTTAAATAGCAAAATTGGGCCATTATTTTTGTAATGCAACTGATATGAAGGCACATTTTAACTTTTTAAAAAGATGGAATAGTTATAACATGGCCCTTTTAAAAACGGTCGTAATTTAAGAAGCTTGTCTCTGGACATCAACAACCCTCCTCACTAGTTCAGCATAAGGAGCTGTACTCGTCTGTTACGTTACGCTGAGAGAATGGCATTAGTTTCTGCTCAAAGGTTTAACACAAGGTTCATTTATTCTCTCTTCTTCTTAAGAAAACTTGTTCGTTCCACGTTCCTAACAAAATAATTATAAACGGCAAATCTTTACTTACGTTTTATGATGATGTTGATATCTTGTGTGGAGGTACCAAAAAGGTTGTGGGCGCGACATGTATAGGTCCCATGATGGTGATTTGAAGCTATAATTAACCCCATACTTAGCGTGTTAACATTTGGCCCTCTACTGGAGGGATGGATGGAGTATGAGTTATAGTAATAACCATGATAAATCTTTACTCCATTTTTCCACCAGGAAAGATTAGGTGCGGGCCATCCACTTGCTTTACAAACCACCTCTGTGGAAAGTCCTTTTTCCACTATTTTCACGGAAGGCAAGGCCTGTAAGGTCGGTTTACCTTAAAAAAATAAATAAATAAATAAATTTATCAATGAAATAAAACAAAGCTCATGTGGTGCATTCTTTGAAGCGGGATTTGATGCCAGGAAAGAATAGGAAGAAAGAAAGAAGCCGACAGGGAAGCACTGATCATGAAATGCCTGCGCAGTTCTATGGACTCGCTGTGTTTTAACAATATTATTATTGATGATAAGGCTGAAGACGATCAGAAAAATTACATCCATGCATCGAGTAGTATGAATTGCGTAGTATGATTTTACTTTAGATAGCCCTAAACTCTTTCGCCATGTTTTGTGTTAGACCATGCTTACATATAAACAACTTGGCTGCCGCGCCGCTGCCTGGACGACGCTCCTATTATTGGCAATTACTCAACATCTCGATGGTATATTGCCTTCACCTACCAACTATGCAAAGGGTCTGGAACAAGAGCCATAATGGGACTCTTGGTCTAGAAGGGAGGCTGGCTATAAAGAATTAGCCGGGGGATTTGAGCTTATCATCCAGAAACTGCGAAATATTTTGAATGAATATTAAATAAATTTAATTTATTTTCAAATTTAAACTTACTTGGATTAGCCGAGCATGAATATAAATTATGACCTCGCTGTGCGGTACACTTGAACTCCCCGCTAACCTTGTCACGGGATCTGATCTTAAGAGATACTGCTGACCAAGCTTTGTTGAAATCATCCTTTATATGTTTTCCATTCCTCGTCCATTTTACAGTCTCAACAGTGAGACCACTAAAGGAGCAGTTGAGAATTACTTCATTGCGGATGTTCGACATTATTGGAATGATGACGCAACCAAAGTTGCATTCTGGCAAATAAATGTTTGCGAAAACTGGAATGAAGCAAAAGTTAGGATTACTATATACATCTTTAAATAAAGCGAGTAAGAATCAGCGTGTTGCTATACTAACATATAATTACACTCCAATATACGGAGAGTAATGAGGGGAAAAATATTCCTTCGAACCTACATGTACAGTAGGCTGATCAGCGTGCCTGAGTTGTCTGTTTCTTTGTAAGTTAAGCTGCTAAAAGAATTGACAGAGAAGTTTTTTTTTTTTTAAAGCACTAAACCATTGACTCTAGGGGACAAGATCAAGAAAATATCCCCCTTAAGGTGATTTCCACTGTCGCGTAATGTTTACGTGGGTAAAATGTGCCAAGGATTTTCGAAAAATCGAAGGTCAAAAGTTAATTTAACTGAAAGAGGTATTATTGATGGGTGAGAAACCCAAATTTGGTCAACATATCTTTTATCTATAAAAACTTATAGCCTATTATTCAATAGCACGTACTGTGATATTTTGTATGGCTTGAAACAGCACAGTTACCTTATATCTATGTTTTGTTTTTCTTTTTGCAATTTAGTTTACCCGGCCTAAAATGTTTAAAATGAAATCCGTGGCAGGCTAAGGTCTGAGTTTTACATTTTGGTCAAGTCAGTGGCTCAAGGAATGAAAACGTCTAGTCGTTCCGCCACGGTGTACTCTGGTCTGACGTAACAAAATATCGAGAATTTAAAATAAAGGAAATAAAACTTTATTTAAAAACATCCAATAAAAGATTACAGTATACAAGCATAAGATAAAAGTCATCACAAAATCATTGATAAAAATGTATCTAAAATAAAAAGCCTTAGTCTTGGGTAAAAAAAAAAGAGAGAAAAATGTTCAAAACAATGCTTGAAGTGTCTTATTTATCTTTCCATCTTTTTATCTTTATCTTTCCGCCCCGCTTAAATCGGTGTTCAACTCATGTTTAGTTGTTCTGGAGCCTCTTACACATAAAACTGCTGATCTCAATAGGTTAAAACATAGTTTTTCTCTCAACCAATGAATCACAATGCTATAATCCATCTGCTTAACTTCTTATCGGATAGTTTTTGAGCTAGTTCGGTATTGCTCGAGAAACCTTGTCAAGTTTCTGGTTAAGGTGGCTCTTTGCAAACGGGTTAAAAACTCTGACATCAAAAAATGCACGTTGCCCCCTTTGCCAAAAACCGCGCGCGCTGACATCCAAACGAGCCTCATCAGAGGAGTTGGCACTGCTGATTAAAACTTCTGTCAAAGGATGAAGGTGTGGCTCGATCTCAACATCATGACATACGTCCTTGAGAAGGGATGCGAACAAGTCTCGCACATCGTCATGCCTCCTATGGACAAATGCGTCTTTCATACACGACATTGCATGATCAACATCGAATCTCTTGCCGCAAGGGCATGTAGATGGAAGGTACTTCGGTGTCCAGCGGTACCTAAGAGGCTGAGCGCATTGTAGAATATTCCCTTTTGTTCAGGTCAAAGTTTTGTTTTATTGTTTTTTCTTTAAAAAAGCCGTCAAAAAAACATTATTTTGCTAAATGTGTAGGAGAGAAAGTGTTGTTTACCTGTATTATAGTTTGGAAACACGTGATCCAGTAGAAAACGAGTGATTATCAAATAAGTTTCGCTAACGGAAGTTACAGAAGGAAGGTAATATTTCATTTCTATTCCAACTACTCACTTTTGGGATTACAGACCGTCTGAAATAACAATGCATATAACTTATTCTATTAAATTGAATTAATGCTAAACATTTTTGGATAAAATTTCTGGAATTTTTGGGTGAAACGAGGCTAAAACAACAAAATGAGCAAAATAAATTGAATTGAAAGTAAAATAAATTAATATACACATGGTAATATGTCAGAATTCATACAAGAATTGTTATACATGAATATTGTAAAGTCCATTGACAGAAAAGAGGGTTGAACTAGCAAAAACAGCGTCAGATAACCCACTTCCTGTTTTGTGTAACCTCCTCCTCCTCCTTTTTATTTTTAAAAAATGAGCAAAATGCCTGTCTCATATTCATTTTATATTCCTAAATTGCCTAGAATGCTTCAAGGGAAAATAATCTTCTTAAAACTATGCAAGAAAACTCCGCGAACCACAAACTCAGCTTAAATTCCCTTATTACACTTGACAAAGAGATTTCTTACCAATGGAACAATTGTTAGGGTTACTTATTACGAAATCTTCACCATTTGGGCACGACTATGACGTGAAGATGTCGAATTTCGCGTTGATAATGGCCGCGTTTTTTGAAGCTGGGTAGTTTGCGTTATTTGTTTTAATGAATAACAAAACTACAAAAGAATAAAGTCAATCTTGTTAAAGGGCCATGATTAGTTTACTATAATGTGCCCTTCTCCATTCTAATTTTCTTCTTTTATTATTATTATTATGTACACGTAGCTTAAGCAACTTTGTACCAATTGATATTGTACAACTTATGTATTATTGATATTGTACAACTATTGTATTATTGTACAACTAAGGTATTATAGGATGGAGTAAAAATAAAATACAAATACAAATACAAATAGATGCCATCAAGGCTTGAGTTGTTTGATAGGGCAATCGCGTGACAGCATTTCCCGAAATTTACCTGACGTTTATCGCATGTTTTACAGACCGGACAAATTCTTGGTAACGGAAGTCAAAATTCTACCTTTTCTGTAGACCAATTGTGATCTGCCCTCAGATCGGTAACGGAAGTTTCATAAAAATAGTGGACACCAGTTCACTGTAGTTAAAAGCAACAAAACTGACCTTCAGTGAGTGATGGTTACAGTATAGATCCAAAAGATCTGTTTTAGCCCCAAAAATGGGCCGGTTCGGTGAGTAAAATACAGTACTATTTTTGGGGGCTAAAGTAGCCCATTTAGAATGGAGTCGTTTTGGCCAGGGTAGAAATAGCCCAGGATTCATACAAAAAATTGTAACCATTTTTTAAGGACTTTTCAAGGACCACCTACCAAGAATGTTACTTCACAAATTGTACAAAAATGCACATTCCCAGTCCATTCTAATAAGACTAAGTCTTAAACTATTTGCTTCACCAACTTCCCTACATTTTTCAGTTCACTTGTCTTTAACTGATAGTTAATTATTGCGTAAAACATAGAGTACTTTATGTAAATAACCTTTAAATTCTCTGAGCTATAATTAATATTCTGTCTTGGACAACAAAAAAGCAGAAAAAAATTCTTTCCAGGCCACTACATTAAATGTTGAAGAAAATTCATGGACTTTTCAAGGAAAAATGGAATTCAAGGACTTTTTAAGGCCTTCCCCTAAAATTCAAGGACTTGTCAAGGCTGGGCGAACCCTGTAGCCTTCTGTAAAGTGGCAAAATTGAAGAGCTCAAGAGGTTTAAGACCTGGGTCAAAGGTGTGTTCTGAGCATAAGCATGATTGGCAATATCTCTCGCTAGGAGATCTAGAACCAAGTGAATTTTTCCCCAAAAGTATATCGTGAGGATTTCTTGCGTTTAGCTTTGGTCACGTGACATGTCACGTGAACAAAAATTGAAAATGAAGGAAATTGGCGAATTTCAATTGGTGCGAATTTTCTTTGTTAGGATAAACAAATTGGCATTTCTAATACCTAACCTTCTACGTTTGGAATGAATGTACGCGAAGTTTAAAATTAAAGTTTTAAATAATTCAAGATTAAATTTGGGCATTTGAAATGATATTTTTTCTCATAATTTTTTATTGAAGTGCAAGGGACGGTCACTCCGAATGTGAAGTGTTAGAAATATTTTATATGAGTTAGAAAAATGTTATTGCTCGATTTCTTTTCTTAAACCGGCCACCAATTGCACAATAATTTACTTTTTTTTTTCAATGTTTATACTCTAAAATGTTACCGACGATGAGTTCTTTATGTGTGCCAAATTTTGATTCAGCGTCTTCGGTAGTGCACGTTTAGGGTTGTTCAGCTCCGCAAATATTCTCCAATTATTAGCTGGTTATGGTGAATTACTACTCATTCAAAATATTTCCCCGACTCTGATTGGCTAAATGCAAACGCATAATTCACCATAACCAGCTACTGATGACCAAATTTGGAAGCATTTTGCGTTTAATGAACCAAGGACGTCAAAAGTGCAGCCTTCTTGCAGGTTAATGCACCGTTAACCGAGAATAGGCCTTGGCG